GCACCAAATTGTTCAGTATTGTTCTGACAAATCTCTCAAATCTCATTCCTCATCGCTGCGAGGCCGTAACAACTCTTGGCCATAACGCACAAATCTTCTCATCGGTCTTTGGCACACTTTATTTTGCCACATCAACCACAAACAACCATCCAGCCACGAGACCAAGGCAAGTAATGACAAAATCATATGAATCAACGTTGAAACACGAAGTAATGCATATATGACGCGGCTGCGTCAAACAAAGTGAAAATTCGGCAAAGTTCCCGGATGTTGGACTAAACCGCTGCATCTGCTAAACAGCTGCAAATTCTAGAGGAGATACAGTGGCACTAATTTAAATCCTCAACACAGATATTTATAGAGTTCATTGGGTTGTTTCTGAGGAGGTGTAGAGATGTGAATTATTAATTAATCACACTTTATTAGTATATAGGGCCTTGCACTTTATCATCTGGATTAAACAAAAAGTTTCCTGCTGAGTGCAGAAAGGTAGGTAGGTGCATCGCCAGGTTCTATCACCAGGATTGGAGCAGTTATTGCAGTTGAAAGTCAAAGTTGGCTGTTCATGTTTAGGCCCTGTTCTTTATTTGGCCATCTACCCCATATTGCAGTTGTGATGACAAGCAGTTTTCAGTGTAGTTTTGTGATCTTTGATGTCATCAATTGGTGTCATTATTTTTCGTCAACTAAAACTTATTTGAACTTTCCATTCAATCGACTCAATCATACGAGTCACTCTAATTTTCGGGAATCAAATCAGTCAACCAGTCGCTTAAGTCAAACGAGTCAGTCAACCAGTCATCTCGAAAAGTCAATCGACTCAATCCAATCAACTCAAAATACGCGTTGAATCAAATCAATCAATTCAATCGACTTGATTGGTATACAACCCTGGTTACGAGATAGTTATGTTAGTGATGTGGTGAATGACGAAGGCGGTTGTGGTTACCTCCGGCCACAGAAAGTCACAACTGTGGTTAGTGCACGGTCTCTGGGCCGTTCTCGGCCAACTGCTCAGCTGCTCCCGACCGCGTGTTTTAGTCACGGTGTTGCTATTTGGGAAGCTCGCAATATCATTGCGTTACTACGGTGTGGGTCTGACGGACCACGTAATCGTTGACTGCATTGGAGGATTATCATCAAGGTAAATCGGAAAAATATGAGGCGCTGCTGCAGCTGCATGTCTCTCATTTGTAGCATGACTTACGTCACATTTCACTTCAGATATCATCTCTAAAATACCCTATATCTGCGACGGAGTAGGCTGTATTTATGGTCACAAATCCTTCTTGAGTAATTGTATGACCGAGCTACTGAGAGCTGTGTCGTTTGGATAATCCATTTGACATCTCGCAGTCCTCTGTGTCTCTAGGACGGCTCTCCATCACAAATAAACAGTGGGCGCTCGTGCCGCCCGGTCCCATATAAGGCTTCTTTACGGGCGGCGCGGTGACCGCGGCGGCTGTTTGTCGGTACCCGGTGCGGTGGTGCGCGGTGGAGTGGTGAGGGGCGGCACTGCACCCGGTGAGTGGTGCGCGGCTCTGCGGTGAGGGGCGGCAGGACTGCGGCGGCCTCCTCAGGTGACGAGTCTCCTCTGGTCCCTCTGGACCGCGCCGCGTCGCGCTGTGCCGCCGGTTTGTGTTCACAGCCAGGCCGCGGTGACAGGCGCGTCGCACGGCCCGTCGGACACGTTCCGGCCGACCGGACGCGGCGCCGTCGCCTCCCTCCTCGTCGGAAACGCCGCGGCTTCTTTGCTCCCCGGCAGTGCGTCGCGCCGGCCGCCGGATGAAGCCACTCAAAGTCATCCCGCCGCCGCCGCCACCGCCCACTGCCATTGCCCGACGTCATCACAGTGCCACTGTCACACCGGTCCAAGCGCATTATTACTAATCTCGCTCGATTTTTTTTTTAGAATAATGAACCAATATTTCGTTCCTGGAGATACACTCACCAAATTTGATAGCCAAAATGGGAGTCAAGATTTATAAGAAATCAGTCGGCTCTTTCTTTTAATTGTTTGATTTGTGTCCCACGAAGAACGCATTTTTTTTTTTGCAAATCCATTATTCACTCAAAGCTGTTCCTCGAGATGTGGATGTTCTTCTGGGCCGGTCAACCTTCCTCCTCCCATCCACCTTTCATCAGCGAGCGGTGCCAACTGCTATAGCTGCCAGCGGATTCCCTCTCGCAGGCAGCAGCGCGCTCCAAATGAAAATACGGTGTTGACCGAGCGATTAGTCTCGCTCGAAGGGTTGCGTTTGAACTGAGCGTTTCGAAACGGCGGCACAAACAGAGAAGCGCTGTAATTAGAGCACCCTCGCGCGCGCGTCGGGGAGGGGCGGCCGGCGCAGCGGACTTCACGCGGGCGGGAGGAACGCCTGACTGACACCGCCTCGCTCTAATGGAAGAACCGGTCCGCACTGCGAGAGCAGAGACACTGAAAGCTGGCGGGGTGTAAAGGGATCGCCCAGTGAGTGACAGTGGATTGCTTCAGGCGGGCAAATGACCCCAGCGAGTGCCGATTGCTGAGCGGCGACGAAGATAAATGACGGTCAAGATGTCAGCGGGAGAGTTCGGCTGTAAGCTGCTAGCTACCACTTAGATGTGAAATTAACGCAGCTGCACAAGGAGCTAGATTTTGTCCTGTTGCCCGCATGCATTATTATAGCTAAGTTGTAAATGGACTACTAACGCCAAGGCGCATTTCTCTATGATCGCACAGCTATTTAGTGGTTTTAAACGGATGAATGACGATGGTGCACTAATTTCTTTGGTGACCGCCTTGCTCGAGCGTGGTTGTAACATACCTAATTATGAAATAATATAATTGTGGCGGCAATCCACATTGCAATCAACTCGGCTAATTGGCTGCTGAATGTCCTGCTGCTGCTGACCTTGTTCGAGTGAGCCCACTCTCCTCCCAGTGACCCCTCTGAACGTGTTCGGCCCGCTCGGCCGGCTCCCCGACCGTGTCGGGGTGCTGCTCTCTGCAGGGCGTCTCCCGATCGTGTCAAGGTGTTGCGCCCGGGGCCGTCTCTCCCCGCGTCGGACCGACTCGTAGGCCAGGTCACGTGCCCGGCCAACTAATGAATAGAACCGGTGCTAATTTATTCATGGGATCAGCGGCGGCGGCTTGAGAGCGGTCTGATAAAGACCTCCCGTCAGCGGCGCTGTCGGTCGGCAGGCACTGCTGACACAGATGAGATGGAGAGTTAATGACCGGCCTCGTAAGAGCCCCCGGTTTCCGTCGCTAGTTGTGCACGGCTCGGGGCGAGCTGGAACTGCGTGCTGCACGCCGCCCGAAGCGTTCCTGGTAGGTAAGGGGCGTCGTAAATTTGCTGCTACTTTCGCAGGGGGTGTTTACTGTCTCCAGCGGTATGGTTAAACTCTGAGCTGCCCACCGTCTGTTTGAACCCCCGAGAGATTGTCTGCTGCTCAGTGCTCATGAATATTTCTTTGAACGGAATAGATTGTGGTCATTCCAGTGTGACAGGCTATGATAAATTGCTCTCAAGAATTCAGAGCATTTGGATGCTCCACGGAGCACACAATTCAACCTAGATCCGATTAGGGACTGCTTTTCGTGATGCTTATCATCGAGACTTTTATAGATGATCCTGATGTGATTTTCACTTACTTGGTTATCGTTTTTCACGAGCACCATTCACGATCCGGGAGATATCGTCACGAACGTGGTATGTGCACATTGTGCAGCGGAGACATTCCACAGCCGGCCACGAAAACGATCTCTATTGCCGACACAACGCAACCAGGTTTCAGAGGACATTCACGATGTCTTCAACCAGAATCACTGGGTTCACGCGCGGTAATGACACGCTTAGGAAACACATGCTGACACATTTACCAGTTGCATCTTTATGAGAACATTAGTTTTCCACAAATACTGATAACGTCCCGTCATTCCACTTGAACCGGATGCAGTTGATGAATACTGCTGCAGGCGAGGAGACGTGCATATTTCTATCAGAGAGAATGAGCACGTTTTCTGCCGCAGAGCACAACTGGCCTTCGCGATCCTGTTCGCATTCCGCTCTGCAGTAACGATCAACTGGGCGTGTCGGCCGGCAAATTCCAAAGGCTGTTCAACTCGGTCGGTGAACCATTAGGCCTTTATGACATATTATAGCCCCTAATGAGCTGTTAACGACCGTCTGATTATTTATGAACACCATGTTACCGCCAAGGCCATACATCCTACATGCGACTGTGTGATTCTTGCTCCTGAGGCTCTCGAAGGCCCCTGGAGGCTCTCGTTCGCCTCTGAAGTCCCTCAGTGTCGATGCCTGAGGTGCCGTTGATTGGTCTCGTGAGCGGCTGTGATCACGGTCTGTGTGATCTCTCAGACATCTCAAATAAACACTGATAGAGTCGGCCGATGGAATGTGCGCAGTCCGCAGCCCCGGGGGTCCGCCTGCCGCGTCAGATTTGATACACGTGCTGATGGGTTTCAACCGATGCGCGAGTGGGATGATAGCCGCGTGTGGTGAATGGTCCCCCTGTGACCCGGCTGTCGGAGTACGGACGTGGTGCGGGCGGCGCCGCCTCTGAGGGCCGAGGGCGGTGGGGTTTGATGTGTCGGCTGCTTGGCGATATGCTCAGATCAGCTTCGAACTCCGTTGGATAGTATAGGTCCCTGCAGAGGGCAAATACGCTGGATTTGAGGAATCAGACAAACGAATAATCCTTTGGTGCTCTCGTCAGATACATTTGCATGATGCGCATTTGCCATTTTAACGATAAACCTTGTCTGATGTGACCTCTCCTGACTTGGCATGACCTGAGCCGGTTTGACCTGATGTGACTTGACCTGAGCTGAATTGAGATGTCAAGAGCTGCCCTGTCTTGCCCTGACCTGTCCTGAGCCTGACCGTCCCTGACCTGACCTGCCCTGCCCTGCGCTGCTCTCACCTTTCATCTCTGTGTGTTGTCGTGTCATGACATTCCCTGCCCTGACCCATCGTCTCTCTGTTTGCCGGCAGCCGTCGGTGTTCCAGGTGCCGCCCCTCCAGTCGGCGGCGGCGGCAGCGTCAGCCGCCCAGCGGGTCACCGCTCACAGCATCGAGGAGTACTTCCGGGACGAGCTCATCTACAAACGCAACCGGCGCATGGGCGAGCGAATACTGGAGCTGCTCTGGGCGCGGCCCAACGAGTCCTACTTCTTCGCGTTCGGCGCAGGTCAGTTCCTTCGGTGGGCATCTGTTGCAGGGCGATAGATCGAGGGACATGGGTGTGCTGGTTTAAACTTCAATGCATGCCATTGATTTATGATTTTGCTGTGCGACTTCTTTGTGATGCTATCGGATAAAACACAGATATTTCAACGTCAATAGCAACGAACCAGTCAGAGAACGCAGCTCCTGGCGTCTCGTTTGGCAGTCCGACCCAGTAGAGACTGGGTGACTCCGGGTACACATCCGGACCTGATGGTGAGGTCACCGGATGCCCTCACATGGCGTCCGACCCATGTGAGAGAGTCCGAACACGAATGCTAATCGATGTGACCCCTCACACCTGTAGATCTTCATTACCACTGTGATCAACACAGAACATTCACAAGGATACACACCGCTCACAGGGTATTTAACTGCACCATGAGATCCACACACACCCTCCACCCTTCATTGACAAGCTCCTGCGCCCCTCTCCGGCCCGATTTGGAGCGGGTTGCACGCCCAGCTGGTGCCGCCGGAACCCGGCAGTGTCGCTCCTCTCCAGCACACGGCCGCCGGCCCGCCCCGGTGCCGGTGACACGCCGTTTACGGCATCGACCTCCAGTTTGGGAATCGGGGCCGCCGCCTGTCCGGCGCCCATCCGCTCCGCAGCGCGCGCGCCGCACATACATTATGGATCGGGCTGACTCAGCGGCCGCGCGAGATGAGTGTATAGGTGTATATTTGGCGGTCCATGGACAGGGACAGGCGACGGCACAGCGCAGAGCTGAATGGGCTGCATCGTACACGAGGACGATGTCCAGCTGGCCGGAGCTTTGGATGACTACGGTGGCCGCCGGAGTCTGTTGGCGGAAGATGATGATTTGCTGTCTGTTGGAGCTCTGGCAGAACTGTTAGTGGAATCTGTGGGCTGACCTGTCGGCAGCTGTCGGCTGCTGTCGGCTGGGCGTGTGTCGGACACCACTAGCAGCTGACGAGCCGCGCGGCCCGCCGGCGCGCGGCGCCCGGCGACTTTGATCAGCCGTCAGAGCTGGTGGCGGCGCTGACGGGAGCCGTTCGGCCGCGCCGCCGCTGTGACGCCGCCCGTCAGCGGCCGCGCCGCGCTGACCCTGTGCTTACACCGCCCGCGGGCAGCCCGGAGAAACGACTCACCTCCTCAGATGACAGCCGGCCGCGCGGCGGTCAGACCTGTCACCGGCCGCCGTCTCGGCTCGGTGACAGGTGACAGGCGGAACTGAGCCGTCACCGGCGCCTTCCCGTCGCAGGGCCGGCCGCTGTGGACGCCAGGGCTGCGGCACATATGCAGCTGCACGGCCCCGCCAGAGATTGTCCTGTATCGAGACACGTTCAGTGCAGAATGGGACGTGTCTTATAGGTTCTAATAGAATGTTGGATGCAATTCATTAGAACCACGATTTCTTTCAGAGAAGAAGCCTGTATTGGGTATAAGTTCATGCGCTGCCCATTTTCACATGCGGGGTCACTGACTTCGAATTAGGTCTGCCTGCCATTTCCTGTGAAGGAATCCGTCAAATCCGATATACCATATTTGTCATGCCATACACATTTTATTGTTACTTGTTACCTTGAACTATATGTTATTTTGCTATTCTTGTTTTGTTTAGAATGCGCTGAAACCGGATCGGATTTGCTGATCGTTTGCTACGATAGGTATATGACAATAGAGACATTTCAGGAAGCTCACCTTGAATGCCAAGGAAGTGATTTCAGCCGCGATTACCTTGCCGATTTTTGCATTCCTCCGCCAGAATCCTTGTCTGTTATGCTAGAAAGTAACTGTCACTAGTCAGGAAAGCCAAGAATGCTACAACTATTTAAGTGTGTTGTGCTAATGTAAAAGTAAGTAACAAGTAAATGCGATTTTGGCAATGACTTCGTAGGAACACCTGCACCCGTCAAGCACCATTGCTGAGCTTTATTACCTAAAACTTTGTATGGAACGTCCTGGTGAAATATTCTCGCTGCTACCTTGCAAAGAAATCCTCCCGATATAAATAGAGCTGTACTGGAGGTATTCGTAGGGTGCTGAGGGAATTTGCGGTCGGGCTGAAGCGGCGGCTATTTGGTGTTTTCTCTCACCACAGAAGCAGCTGAGGAAACACTGCTCCTGCTTGCCTCCGGAGACCGGGGAGGGCCGAGGGGCAGGGAGGAACGTGGCGGCGGCGCAGGTTCACTGATCTGAGTCCTCAGCGCCGAGGGAGGTGTAAGGGCGGGGGACGGCACGAGCCGAGCACACGGCGCAATCACTGGGATGGCTGAGGAGACAAGTGAAAGTTCCTGTAAAATGCATGCAAATATAATTATCTAAACAAACCGTATGATGGCGGTGAACGCGTTCCGTCTCACCGATTAAGAAGCCATTCAAAGTCATCAGGCCTCAGAGCCGGACTTCGCCACGGATTGAGCCATCTCTTCTCACGAGTCTGACTCTCACTGACTCGAGTTCTGCATCGGATACCTGTGGTCACTGGTCAGTGCCATAACTCAGCGTGACGGGGTGGCTGCCCTCACTGCGGTCCGTCCAGTGACGTCAGGAGGAGGGGACGGGGGCGGCGGGACAATGGGACGGGGCGGCGGGACAATGGGACGCTGCACACCGCCCTCGGATCGTCACTCATGTCTGGCACGCCCGGTCTGAGACGTCCCAGAGCTCTTAAACCCCGCTCCGGACACGGCGACACCGTCCGCCCCACCAGCGGACACTCGCTGCTCCTCGTAGGGTGTGTAGAAACCCTTCGCGCGGGCGGCGGTGCGACGGGCCCGGCCGGCCCGCTGGAGTGGCACTGCCGCGTCGCACCCATGTTGCTTCACCTCACCTTGGGATGAGGTATGCTCCGGGTGTCCGAACGGACTGTGCCTGTCCTCCCATGCCCCGATCGGGCGTGACTGTACAGAGAGCTCTCTCCGCTCTGTACCTGACCCAGACTGGTCAGGTCCTCTCTCCTGCCCGTCGCGGCAAACTAATGGGAGCTGTTCAAGGCGATTGCCGCGCACGCACAGACGGCTATCAGCCTTGGACTCGATGGCCAAACTGGGCTCTCACCGCGCCCACAAACGCCGGTTTTCTCACATCAGTGGCCGCGTTTTCTCACATCAGTGGCCGCGTTTTGCCACGGTCGACGAATTAGGAGGTGTGTGCGCAATGCCCGCGGTGACTAATGGAGCCGCCGGTGGGTCAGTTTCGTCCAGCCGGCCCCAGTGACAGTAACGGGCGGCGGTGGGCTGTGGGCGGGGGCGGCGGCGGCGGTGAGCGGGGACGTCTGGTGGGCCGGCGGTGAGTTCCCACGCCGGCACCCATTGGTGAGAGGCCGCCGGTGGCGGCGCTGTCTGTTTGTTGTCAGTCTGTGTGTCTGTGTGTGTGTGTGTCGTATGTGCCGTGCCGGCAGTGTCTGGAGCGGCGGTAGATAGTGGCCACACTCGGCGTCGGCCCGTCTCCCCCGTCGCCCAGAGTATCTTCCCAGATAGGGGAGATAATGGCGGCCAGTCAACCAACCTCTGTTCTAGTTGATGCGGAATATACAGAACGCTCTCCTTAGGCAGCTGCTTAGGTTGCCAATTCTTAATTTTCTCAATTCTAGTGCAAACGTTCTAAACTCTAACTAAATTTGATGATAGTTGACATTTCCCATTTGAACAGCCAGTTTCCCTGCGAAGATTCCTCCAAGCCACATGGCTCAATCCCTTTTCTTATATCCCATCTTTCTATCGTGCGGCGTCCTCCCTCCTCCGTCGATGTGACCGGCCGCTGAAGTCGTCGCCGCCGTCGCCACCGTCGCCGCCGTCGCCGCCGCCGCCGCCGCCGCCGCTCGGCCCACAATGGGCACTAATGGCGCGCTGTTGACACGAAGATTTGCGGCGCTTACCGACCGTTGACGGCGACACAGCCAACATCGATGACGACGCACACGCCGTCGGCCGGCCTTTCATCGGCGCAGACGGCGACGACGTGCCCTGAAAGGAGCGCAAATAGCTCGCGCCCACGAAGTGTCGCCGCTGCCGCCGCCGCCGCCGCCGCCGCCGCCGCACCGCCGCCGCCGCCGCCGCCGCCCCCGCCCCTGCCGGACCCACGCCCACGCGAAAGTAGGTACGTCTGCACTAATGGTGGACAAATTGGGAAGGAGGTGTGGTACCTGTCGATAAACGACGCAACAAAAGCCAAAGTTGAACTTTCTATTCAGCCATGCTTGCTCGGCTGGTGCTCGATTGCCAGTGACCGTAAATGCAATTGCAAAATAACTTTTTTACGGAAGGTGTGCATATTATCAGTCATTCATGGTTACGCTTGCCAGAGGCTTTTTGGTCAATAATTTGTCTCATTGCACAGTGGGGATTTTTCCGATCTAGCGCCTATTAATTCAAAAAATATTTTTTGGATTTTGATTTATTTTTTGTGTCAGTAGGGCTAAGAAATGTCTGAATTTTTCATATATGGCATTGTTTTATCTGTATGTCCACAGCAAAACTAGGAAAAATGCGCCCAAAGTTCACACTCATGCGTGATTACTCAATGGGCTCAGCAAGGCCCGAAAGTATAGCTCAATTTCATTGTCCTGTCCTGTTGGTTTTAATCTTGCGAGGTCTTAAAGTTGCATATCGTCTGAAAGGCACCTTTATTAGGAATGGAATGGCAAACGGAAAGTATGCCACAACCTTATTTTGCCAAATTGTCAGGGAACTCAGATTTGTTTTTCAATAGAAAAACACAATTCTAAAGAATAGTGTTTTAACTATTGACAACAAACCTTCGGTTACTAAGGTCACAAAAATGCCCTTTACAAAAAATCCTTACAGACACCATATTGAAGGAATGGTATTCTAAATAAATGTAGGAAATCAACAATGTTCTCCACACTTTTCCACTCCGAAATATATCCTATCGAATTCGCCACTTTCTTCTGCACAAGACAACGCCTAGTTTGGCTGCCGAAACTTGCCTGAACACGGAATATTCACATTAGAGTATCTTAACACCCCACTCGAGGA